TCACATTAGTACTTGGATCAAAACTACAGAAACCAACTCACCTGAACCAACTGAATCCGTCTCTTCGATATATCTTGAAGACATAACATAGAATGGAACTCGGAAATGAAACTCGAGCACCACCGCACAACTCGGGAAGGTCAGTACAACTAAAATGTCTGAAATGTAATGGGTGCCTATGAAAAGCCGATGTGGAAGGTCGCAAAAATCCTAGTGGATCCGACAGCCCGCACCTGAGTCGGACCGTGTTGGAATTGTTGACCGTCGTCGGTTTGTACTCAATCCTTCACTAGATGTCGCTTCTTATGCTGATTGCATTTCCTTAGAAGATCAGCTCAGGAGCCTCAAAGCAACCCTCATTTTCCAAGTTTTTTTCTGTGATCATAAGTGTCTAAGAATAATTTTAAAGCCTGAAATTCAGATTTCCTAAAAATATTGAGATGAAAATTATCTTTGAAATTGAACTTTCATCTCAATTTCACCAACACCAAAATTTTCAAAAATGTTGGTTCAAGTCAATTTTTCAGAAAGTGTGCATTTTAGGGCCAAAAACTGCTTCCAAGTGAGCCTAACCCCTTAGATTTTTTTTCAACATTTACTGTTTCTAGAAGGGCTATGCTCAAAGCACACACATTTTCAAAAAAAATCTGCTTTGAGCATAACCCCCCTAGATGCAATGTTGAAAAATGTGTGCATTGATGATTTTCAACCTGTGGATTTGTGGTTCAAACCTCAAAATTAAAATTTGAACTGCAGGGTTTATGCTCAAAGCCAAATCCATTTGCAGAGAATTTTTGCTGTGAGCATAACTTCCTTAGATGAAATGTAAACAAAATTGTGGATTGATGATGTGAACCTGTGAATTTGTGTTTTAAACCTTTAAACGCAAATTCATAGGTTTAAATCATGAATTTGTGTTTTAAACATTTAAACACAAATTCACAGGTTTAAATCATGAATTTGTGCTTGAAACCTTTAGACACAAATTCACAAATAACCCCTGCAATTCAAATTCTAATCCAATTGGATTAGAATTTGAATTGCAGGGGTAATGCTGAAAGTGAAATCCATTTTCAAGGATTTTTGCTATGAGCAAAAGTCACTGGAAATAAATATTTTTTAAACCTGCAATCAACTCTCTCTAGAAATTTAAATTAAAGCCTATTTCTTAAAACTGTTCTTTTTTTTTAGCAAAACCCCCTTAGATGCACTGTTTTAATAAATTTCAATCTGATGAAGAAAATAGCCCTCAGAAAGTTGCACAGGATTCAGCTGGATTTTTTATGCATTTTTGGGATTGCTGATATAAAATAAAATCATGTGTTAAATAAGAATCTTTTCTTCCCCATCCAATATTAATATTGTGTATGATTTTTTAATTTTTTTCAATTTTTTCTGGCAATAATGGAAATTTTCAATAATTTTTCAAATTTTTCTGATTTTTTAATTTAAAAAAAGTTTGTTATGTGGATTTTGTTCATTTGGCGGGGGTGAAAATGGCGGATTTTTGCCAAAAAAAAATTTTGTTCTGCGGAACGCTCATTTTGCAAGGAGTTTGCTCTGTGAGGTACCACTGTACAATACTTGTGTTGCTCCTCCATTAACAGGAGCTGCTAATAGCTGCAGCTCATTTGCCCATGAAAATTTTGCACAATCCATATGAAAGTTGTTATTATAGGCCACTTTTCTTTTGGACACATATGCACATCTGTTTACCATTCTGCATTGCAACTAAATTTGAGAGGGATTATTTTTCCTCTCCACTGGTACATTATTTTACTGCCTATCCAGGCTATTACTTTACAGCTTATTGTAAATTGTTAGGAAGAGTGTTCCCTCTGATGTAATGTGATGCGTTGTTCCTTCAAGGAACAGATACTGAGAAATGGGGAGCCTTGAAGACCAGATTGCTGCATTTTTGCCCCCTTTGTGAAGATGGTCTGCAGCTGGTGTTTTTCTGGGTTTTTCAGGAAATTAGCTGGGCTGGGAAAAACATGTATTTTCTTTTGAGCAGGCCAAGCTCACTTTGGATTTGACAGTCAGTGTGTTTGGTTGTGTCCTGATGACCTGCAGTTGGAGTACAGTATTTGAAAATTGTATTCTGATTATTGAAACATTGAATGCATTGATCTGATGCATTATTTCTTTCTGTATTAGACAGAGACAAGTAATTCTCCAAAAATTATCCACATTCATGTTGCTGCCAAACAGTATTATGGTGCATATATGTGGACAATGTGGTTTTTCTATAAATATTATTTGAACAAATCAGAAGCAGTGCCAGTTATTCTGGACTGCCCTGTCTCAAGCCAACCAAGGAGTATTAACCATCTGTCTTCAGTAAAGTGCTTAGTCTTGCCACCTTGGCTTGAGCTCTGCAACTTTGCCAAACATCCACCTAGCTGCCATCCATCAATCAAATCTGGAGCAGCAAATACAGTACTGTACATCAATTACATACAGTATATTCAGTGAAACACCCAGGGTTCTCTAATGACCTCTACCTGAGGCTCAGTTGTCAGTGGAAAATTCACACCTGACATGGAGTGAACAAACTATTTAGCTTTCTGCTTTGTTCAGTTGAAGATTTATGAATAGTTTTTTCAAATTATTGCAACTAATTTCTATCAGTCAAGGTTACTTTTAATATAAATTTTTTTTAAAGAATGAAGAATGGATGGAGAACCTAATACAGTATAATGTTGTATACTTTCAAATTTGCAAGCGCAGAAACAATGAAGCCATTTTTGATTGTTTTGGAAAATGAAAACTTCTTTCAAGAAATATATAAAGGAATCAGCACACCGGCGGTAGAACATAGTGTTGAAAAATCCAGTGACGTTTGTTGATCTTTTCTCAAGCATATAGGAAAGCTGCTAATAGTAAAAGCAAACAAGGAAACAAAAGTCAGGGTCAATGTTGCAACAAAGCATTGCAAGAGTTCCGTTTCCCTTCGTTTCGTAAGTTAATAACTGCAACACTCTTAGTTTTTTTTCTAACTTATTTGGAAAGTATATACTGGAAAATAAAACGGTGTGCGGGAATTTTTCAAAAGTTCAGTGATGTTTTCCTGAAGCACTCAGCAAAAAGGAACTCAACGTTTTCAGAATATTCTTATATTTAAAGGCTCATGAAATTTTATTCTGCAATTGTGTTCGCCAATATGAAATCAAGAATCATCATGAATCACCAGCAGAACGAGCAGGAAAATAATGTCGAGATTTGCGTCATTCATCCAGATTTCTCAGATGGATTTCAGTTTTCCGAAATTTCTTGGAAGATCTTGGTGCTCTTGAGCTGTTCCAGAAATATGCTGAGCCATGCTTGCATTTGCATAAACAATGTGTCCAAGGTGTTCAACCAACGAGGATGTCCACAATGCTCGAGTATTTTGCGGGTTTAAACTTCTTTCAGGAAGGCATATATAAACTCTTGAAAAAGACTCTTTTCCATTCCAGTGGATATCTCAGAATTGCCACAAGCAGAGCCTGATTTATTTAAACTTTTAAAATGCAATTCAAATTTCCCTTTGTGAACTTGCGTTCTCTCCATGTGTCACGTGTATTACAGAATATTTGGAAAAAAATCCATGTACAGTACTGCTCAGTCAAAACCTCTTCAAGTCGAATTTCAATAATGGACTGCAAAACAAATCAAGTTTGGGAGGTTTAAAGTCAGGGAAACAAGTAATTGGGGGAGGGCAGAAGGAAGAATAACATTGCAGTTTCAATCTGTGTTGTTCCAGGCCTTTATTTGATTTTTAAATCAGTTGACAGGATTCTCCACTTTGGAGGCAAGTTTTCATTTGCCCAAATTATACTGTATTTCACAACACATTATTGTCCAAAATCAAAGAATTTCAAAAAACTCCAGAATTCGAATTATGCAGGTTTAAGGTGGAAAGACTTCCAATTACGGAGCTCTTTAATGCATGGTTTGCAAGGGAATTCAGACAAGGACTTGAGAAAAATTAAACATGATCAAGGAGATATTGGACGCAAAGGTTTGAGTTATTGAGGCTCAACTGCAGGAATTATGTTTGAACATAATCCTACTATTCGCACAAAAAATTATTCATCGTATTACAGTATAACGAAAAAAATTGCAAAATGGAATTTACATGAAAAGTGTGAGAAGTTTTATCGGCGGGCAACTTAATTTCGGACCTGCTGAATATGATAAGAAAGGCATATTTGAGAAAAATATCCAACTTGTCCAGAAAATAAGAACACACTCCTAATTAAATCTTTGCGGAAGTTTATGCACAGCAACGAAGTTTCTCGAGTAAAAATTAAAGTGTTCCAAAAAAAATCGATGACAAACTGCGCGGAAATTTTTTTGAAAATCATACAATTGTTGTACTGTACCGAGTTTTGAGACTTTTTTGTAAAACGCATTCTCAGAATGAATGTTATGACATAATCTTGAAATAATTATTTTTCTTCAAAGAGGAACTCGTCTTAAAGGAAATGTCGAATTGAAATCGGGTTCAAAATCTCTTTCAAAAAATCAGTGTCATCTGGCACATTTACATTTTTCATACCAAGCATAATTCGTGCAGTTTTTAGAAAATTATATTCGTACACGCTGCCAGTGTTTTTTCTGCGGATTAATGGTGCTGTTTTTCTGATCATTGCAGCAGAACTGAACAATTGATACATTTCTCATTTGAAAATTTCTACAGCCGCCAAAATCGGAAGTTGGTATTTGATGAGAGTTGAGAGTTCCTCCGACTACCGTCTGAAGTTACCAAAAAATGGAAGTAAGTGTCAAGATTCGAAGACTAGATTTTATTACATTGATCCAAAAATTCGATGATTTCCAATCAAAGCAGACAAAGAAGTGCCTGACAAGATTTCTGCTGTTTTTGGGGATGATTGTCTTATTCGCCTCAGCACATCCTCAACCGTGAGCTGACCGAAAATTCCATTCCATGTGATAAAAAAAAAGTGACATAAGAAAGTGACCAAATTTATTTAATCTCTTCGAAAGTGGAAACAATGGTCGACAGAGAGGCTATTATGGAGGAGGAGGAGTTAATTACGGATGGCCCTCATATGCTGGAGGCTATCTTGGATCTGTGGGATATGGAGGCAATTATGGTGGATACAATAATGGATACAACAATCTTGGGTATGGGAACTCTTGGTGAGTCCTTATTTTTCAGGCATTTCGCAAAAATTACGAATGTTATTGGTATTGAAACATTTTTTTGCAGGAGAGGTTACGGCGGGGGATTCGGCGGTTTTGGAGGAAGCAATTACGGAAATTACGGCAACAATGGATTTGGAGGATTCGGGGGATCTTTCGGTTTTGGAGGATCCGGTGGTACTTATTGGTGAAATATAAATATTTTTCAATCTTTTTTACATTTTTTGATGATTCTTCCGAATGCAATGCGTGTGTCCGAAATGAAATACATGCGGTGTTCGTGTGTTTGATGATGACTACTAAAGATTTAATCATACTTCTTTTCGTCCTTTCACGTTGACGCGTTTCTTCTTCAAAAGATGTTCACAAAGGAATAATTTGCAGTCAGCGATTTTAAAGAACATATCATTTTAGGAAAACTTACAGACTCAGTTTCCTTCTTTTTGTCAGAATCTTGAAAACATTTTTTAATGAACCCCATACTGTATAGTATAGTATACTGTAGTAGAACATTTCATTTAGTGCTGCTCGAAATGATACAGTGCAAAATAAAATAAAGTGATGCATGGCTTACTTTGGGTGGTATGCAAGAAATTTGCGACTGGACAACTCAATACAACCAATTTGAGACAGGGGAATTGAAAACATACAATTCTAAATGGAGCCACTTATTGTAGACATACAGAGGCAGTTTCACATAGGGGAAATTTACAACAGGGTCAATATTAAACAGCTGGACCAATTGACAAAATCAGCTGGCTAGATTGGTATATACAGTATATGTCATTTACAGTATTTAAAAGCATTACAGATTCTCTTGCAAAAGCCAAGAAAATTCATTAACATACTGTACTACATTCAACAAAAGCGTAAATGTTGATATTCAAAGAATATAAACTTTTCATGAAATTTACTTAGTAGCCATATTCAAAGCACAAAAAATTAATATGTTTGCTTTGATCATATCCACTTCTAATTATTTTGAAATTGCAATCCAAAAAGAGAATTTCCATTAGAAGTTGAGGGCCGGTGTTATGCTCAAAGTGAAATTTCTTCAAAAATGCGTTTGTTTTGAGAATAGCCCTGTTATTTAGATGCAAGCAGGTAAACAAATTTGGATAGATATTCTGTGGATTAAAATTTGAATTACAGGGATCATGCTCAAAGCAAAATAAACTTTTGATGACTTTCTGCTGTGAGCATATCTCCGCCTTGAAACAAAATTTTTAAGCTTGCAACCAACACTCCCTGAAATATGAAATGGAAACCTAATTTAAAAATGTATTTGAAAATTATGATGGAACAAAGATGCTGCATGACTTAGTACAGTATAGTACCTTAGTTTTGTTGAATGTGGGACTGGCAACATGATTCAATGCAATGCTAACTTTTGAACTATATCTTATCCATAAATTGAATGTATTAAAGGTCTGTCATTTAGATACCTGAAATGGAACATACTTTGCTAACACTCAAGAGACTATATCAATTTCCCATAAATTTTCAGAGGAATTACTTCTCAGTTGCAATTGTTTTCATCTGGCTACTAGCAAAAGGGGTGAATTGTTACTCATAATGTCACAATCACTTTAAGACCTTCAATTGTTCAGTATATACTCCTCCACTGCTCAAATTTTCAAACTTCTGTTATACTGTTCAAAATTATGATGGAGCAGAGATGAAGCATGGCTATATACCTTATTTTGGTTGCATGGTGTGACTGACTATATATTTTGATGCAATGCTAACTTATGAACAATCTATTCCAAAAATTTAATGGGTAAATGGATTTGTTATTCAGGTACTTAAAATGCAATATAGTATTGGAGGGTAACATTACCACTGGAAAACCTTTGTACTCCTTTTAGACAGTTCAAGATATGCTCCTCAAGCAGTCTTAGTGCTGCAATTGTGACAAATTTCATTTTTCCATCACACCTGTCGAAGTAACTATTTAATCTATCCCATACTTGTAGGTCAAATGGAGTTGATCAAGTCTTGAAAGGAAAACTTTGATATTGGTTTCTTTGGGTATGTACAGCCCAGAGAAGAGGAAAAAGAGGACATATAATTGAGATTCGATTAGCTACATTTAAAGGAAGAGCATCCAAACCAATGTATTGCACTTCTAAACCGAAGATATTATATGAATAACTTCACTTTTTAGCTACATTTTACTGAAAGCATGGCCATAGTGCCATCTTAGTTTTTACGCTCCCTGCAATTTTGCAGTCAAGATACATCAACCATATTGTTTGAATGAGAATGAGTGAATAAGTTAAACAGGTGAAGATATTGTTACAGTCTGACAATGAGCTTTTAAGTGACTTAGCAAGGATCAGGACAACTGAGTGGTTGCTTCAAAATTCCTTTGGTTGGTTTTATTGTGGGACTGACCATATGCATCAATGCAATAATGCTAACTCCTGACCTATCTTGTCCAGAAATTCAATGTATTGATTGATTTGTCATTCAGATTCCTCATGAACAATAAAATTGATTGATAGGAAGATTACCCTTTTACCCATAAAAACCTTACTAATTTTGATAATTCAAGATACACTCCTCCACTGCTTATATGTTCTGACTTCCAATTCCATTCAAAATTATGATGAAGCAAACATGTTGTCATGGGTCACTTGGATCCCAGAGAGAGAAATCCAATTTTCCAGCCATCAGACTGCAAGTTTTGAAGGCACTAAACTCTTGTTCAGAGGAGTTACTTCTCAGTTGCCTTTTCATAATCTGGTTGCTAGCAAAAAGGCTGAACTGTTATTTATGATGTCACAATGGAATTCAGATCTTCAATTGCTCAAGATATATTCCTCCACTGCTTGAATTTTCAAAATTTTGTTTCTTTTCAAAAGTATGATGAAGCAAAGATGCAGCATGCCCTGATAAATTAGTTTCATTGAATGTGGCTCTGACAGTAGATATCAATGCAATGCTAACTTGTGACCAATCTTGTCCAGAAATTGAATGGAAAAATGGATTTGGTATTCATGTATACTTGACAAGCAACATAATTAACTTAAATGCAGATTAATATTACTGATCTAAAACCTTTTCTTCTCTTTGATAGTTCAAGATATGCTGCTCGACCGGTGCTTCACTTGTAACAAATTCAATTTTCTTCCATCACACCTGTTGAGAAGTACATAATTAAACCATTTCATACTTTCAGGTTGAAGGGAGTTGGTCAAGTGTTCAAAGGAAAACTTTGAGATTGGTTTATACAGGTGCAGGCATACAGCCTTGGTTTATACAGGTGCAGGCATACAGCCTTGGTTTATACAGGTGCAGGTATACAGCCTGGGGAAGAGGAGGAAGGACCTCAGTTTGGGATTGGATGAGCCATATGTAAAGGAAGAGCATCCAAACCAATGTACTTTATTCCAACCAAAGAAGGTACATGAATAACTTTGCATTGAAAATTACTTATTGCTGAAAGCATGAGCATAGCACCATATCAGTTATTATGATCCTTGAAATTTTGCAGTCAAGCTCATCTCCAGTATGGCTTGAATGAGACTGATTGACTGAGTTTTACAGGAGAAGAAATTGTTACAGTCTGGTGATGAGCTTTTCCTTGACTTAACAAGAATCTGAACAACTACATTGTTGCTTGAAAATGCTTTAGTTTAGTTGTTTGGTGGAACTAACCATAGATAACAATGCAATGCTAACTCTCAAACTATCTTGGCCAGAAATTGAATGTATCAATGGATTTGTTATTCAGGTGCTTATAACATGCAACATGATACTTACATGAAGTTCAATGTAAGTACAGTGGCCCCCCGCCTAACAGACCTCCTGTGTAAGGGATTTTTGCCAAACAGACCAGCTTTGCAAGCAGTTTTTCCTCCCGCCCAACAGACAAAATCCACCAAACAGACTTCTTTTGGTTTGAAATTAGTGTTGAAAATTGAAATTTTTAATTTTTTATGTAATTGAATTTGTGTAAAGGACTTTTTGTCTAACAGACTCGTCCCTTGCACAAATCAAGTCCGTTAGACAGGGGTTGACTGTAAATTATATTGCATTTCAAGTACCTAAATAGGAAATCCATATATCAATTGGACAAGGATAGTTCAAGAGTTAGCATTGCAGTATTGGATTAAATCACATTCCCAAATTCAACAAAACTATGAGGTATTAGGTCATGCAGCAATTTTTTTTCTCATAATTTTGAATGGATGCTTCAATTTAGGTAATGGATACTGCAAACAAACCATCCAGACCTTGGAACAAATCTAAGCAAAGGTGGTTTAAGGGGATGAGCACACCTTCTGGGCAGACCATTTATTGTCATGGTGAAGGCCAACAATAGCATGGTGCACTCAGCAATGGGCATAATCCCCACAGAATGAATGTTTGGAATACCTACAGTTTTACAAGTGGACAAAGAATTAGGAGCACAAGCAAAACATTTTGAATAGCAACAGAGTGTAGTAAAGTACAGCAAACAACTCAAGCATACCACAAAACTTTTATTCAACAGGCAAATCAAAAGTAGAATAGACACTTTTGATCAGGAGATTTAATTGCTGCTATTTATCCTCATTTACCCATAGTTTCCAAGCATGCTGCGGCTCTCAATTCTGGACTCAATGACTTGGTCCTTTTATGGTCATCTCTTATCAGGGCAGGGGTAAATCACGTTGGAGCAGGACTGAATGTCTATAGCAGGCAATGCCTGGGAAATGGTTCTGTATTGTGGTTTACCTCAAGCTCCAATCCTGGGTTTGAAAAATAACTGGGGCTGGTTCAAGTGACAGCATCATATCTCCACAAGAACATATGTACATGTTTCATGCGGCCAAGGCCCCCTTGGATAAGCTGATATCATTGCAATTACATCATTAATATATGGACAGGCAGCACATCTGGAACCACAGCAAAATTAGCAAAATTAGTAAAATCAGGTCATACTTATGCAACACGCATTTTCTTGGGAACCCTTGGGACAGACTCAGGTCAGCAACCTCTCAAATGGGGGGGGGGGGGGGGGGGAAGGACACCACTGCACTGCAACAGGCAACATCTAGGGGAGGGAGCTGGAGAAACTGTACAGTGCATCCAGCAGCATGCAGAACAAGACTGGTTATCTTACAATCTGGAGGAGCATTGGAGGATGAGCCAGTTGGAGGAGGATAAGCTATATAGGGACTCACTTCACTCTTGACTTTTAACTGAGAAGGACCTCTCTTGTTTATAATCTTGTGACTGTCTGGTGAAGAGCTGTTGAATAGATATCAGACTTGTGAGTGTTCTACCAGAGGTGAGTTGTTCCACATCAAAACCTTACTTTTCAGGGCTATTGCTTTTACACTGCAGTATAAGGGTGCACCCTTACAACTTGTTGCCACATCTAGCCACAACTTTTGGCAGTTTGCAACTTGGCACAACAACCACATTGATTGGATCTTATCTCATAATCTGGAGGGAATTGGAGCAGAGCATTGGAGGAGAAGAATAACATCACTATGACTGAAGCTCTTGACAAGACAGGACCTTCTTCCTTTAAACTTTAAAAAATAATAAGAATTGATCAAGTTATCATGAAAAAATGCAAAACATTTCTGTAAGTTGAGCCAAAATTGGAAAAAATCTTTTTACATTTTTATTTTCAACTGATTCATTTTTCAACATTTTTCCCAAGTTAAATATTGCAAAATTTGTAAAACTTCAACGTGCATCTAGCCCTGTTGAAAATTTTGAAATGGAGCTGATTTTGAAGAAATCATAGTGAGTTGAAGTTGAATTTGTGAATTTTTTTGTCCCGCTTTTCAAAGTTTAAAAATGCATAAAAACGGTTCTATGGCACCAAACATCAAGCTTGAAACAGGGTTAGATGCGCGTCAAAGTTTTTCACATTTCCTTTTTTCAAATCACTAAAAAAATTCAGAATTGACAGAGATATAATCAAAAGCGCAAAACTTTTTTGAAAATCAAGCCACAATGTTTCATTTTGAAATTGCATTCAAAATTTTGTTATGGGCCTAATTTCAAAAATTTTGCACCTTGAATGCGCGCAAAAGTTTTGTGAATGTTCCTGTTTTTTTTTACTAAAAGATATTGAAAAGATATTGCCCAACACCAACTCAATCTTCTCCCTTATATATTAAGGGAGGGACTACCTTGCCTAATGTTTTTTTTTCAATTAACATTTTTTTTCTGCTGCACCAACTAAAAACTTTAAGTGAGGGTTGACTGTACCTACATGTGCATGTAGCTATTGGCAGCTCCCCAGCATCCAACTCCCAAATTATTTGCTGCTGGGTCACTTTAGCTGCAATAATTTAGGTTCATGGAATCTGGGAAGACTTACGGGGCAAAATTACATTGTGCATAATGAAGAACAAATTTTAAAAATGCTACAGTTTAGGTTAAGTTAGGTTACCCTTCTGTGGCAAAGTCATACTTTTTTGCAGATTTTGTTTGTACTCAAGATTGGCATTTTAAAAAACCTTGACAGTGGATGTGCATAGCAAAAATTCCTGTTGGTTTTTTTAAATTTTCCACAGAAAATTTTACTTTGAAATAGAAAAAATTAAATCTTTGAGGCTCACTTTTCCTCCTGGCCTTGTGTTGCTCCCCCAATCATAGATTAAATTTAATCTTGAAAGTCAGAAGCCCATATTAGAGGTCACTATAGAAAAAGTCCAACTTAAGAATATTCCAGCATTTATTTATCCCCAGATAAAATCCATATTTGCCCTTCCTCACCTGGCAGGGGTTGCATAACTTTGTGCAAAAATTAAATGCAGGCCTAAGGGGAAAAAGTCTGACTTTGCGGTGGGATGGAAAGGAGGCTGCCACTGTCCAAGGGTAGGGTTTGATTAGGTCAGGTCAGGCCAGGTTAGGTTAGGTTGGTTAGGTTAAGTCAGGTCAGGTTGGTTAGGTTAGGTCAGATCAGGTTGCTTAGGTTAGGTTTGGTTTGAAATGAATAGATTATTGTTTTCCTACACCAATTTTAACATGGAGTTCATCCCTTAAAAAATACGCTATTCATGAAGTCACTCATTGATGGCGTTGTAAGATGAAGTGGAAAGAAATCTTGGTGATCGAAAAAGTGCGGGGCTGTGCTTTTCTGTCCAGGCACCAGATTAAGCAGGATTATTTGGATCGCAGGGCACATGTAGTTATGTGCCCTGCGTTTAACGCATTTTCAGTCTCGCGAATGTATTACATATTGTGCGGTCCGAAAAGAATTAATTACAAGGCAGTTCGTGAAGGAACTCGTCTGATTTATTTATATCAACTGAGATGAGCTCTGTGAGGGATATTATTTACATATAAAATTTGATCATGATTTTGTCGAATGTTTTTGTTTTGTTTGGGATTCTGAATCTGTTACTTTATTCGCAGCCGTGTCAGTCGTTCGACGCGAGGGGATGGATAGTGCAGCATCGAGTATTGGATCCATGCTCTCTGAAAGCCTTCGAAAAATGATTCAAAAGGCTGAAGTCATTGCGGAAAGAGATACCGATTCTGATGCATCCATTGACCTGGAGGATATTGTTGATGGTGAAGACTGTAGCTCCGAGGATGATGTTGATGAGTATTTCGTCTCCCGCTTTTTCGCTGCCGACACAGATCAAAGTTCGTCACTCATGGCGAAGGCTTCAGAAGTTAATGAACAGGAAGGAGTTCTCAGTGGTTGTGGAATTGTGGGTTGTAAATTCTGCTTGGAAATCGAAGATCTGGCTCGAAGAAGTCGAGAAAACTTCCTGAGATCAAAGTTCGAGTATTCTTCGGTTGTTGACAGCTCCCAGGCTCCGGTTGTTCGACTGGAGCGATGTTCTGATGCAGATTTATTGGTATCACGTCTTGATTTCCGATTTCGTAAAGAAAGAAGAAATGTGGCCCAGCTAGATGAAGGGAATTGTGTTCAAGAGAACGCATCTGTCGACATGAATCTTGTGCGTGAAAAAGTAATCGAGCAGAATCCTGTGACAACGCGAAGCTCTGTTCTATTTGTTGAAAACCCAACCAGCGTTTTAGGCGCTCCATCGCCTCCTCGAAATTCTATGGATACATTGGAGCAAACCACCTCAAATGCGAAGTCCGCTATGAAAGTTAGTTCTTCGCCGTTGGAGAAAAAGCCGAGATTTCTTCCGATCAAGTTTGACTTCGGCTCTGGTTCCTTGAAGTCGGAGATTTCCGAAAGTAAATCGATTTCACCGATGAGTCGATTGAAATCCGAAAGAGTTGAGCCAATTATTCCCGTTGATTTATGGAAAAGTCGTCAAGAAAGCGACGATGAGCTGGAAAATTATGACATCCGAAATTCCTCGCCTGTGTCTTCGAACGCATCCTCTGCAAACCTGTTTGATAACCATGGTAGACAACCTGAACGAGCATTACCGACTTGCTCTTTTGAAGAAGAAGAAGAAATGGTTCAGTTAACGCTGTGGTTTGGTGAACCAAATGGTGAGTTTTTGTCTAGGTCGCGATTATCACCCGTTCCCATCTTTTGTTGTTCTCTCAGTTACTTCTGTTACGAATGAGCCGTTGGAGAAAGTGAGAAAAGAGCCACGAAGGAAAGCGCTATCTGAAGTTCAAATAAGGCCTGGAAAGCGTCCAAAACTACCCATTCGACGAAGAGCTTTGTATGAACATGATGATGTGGACTTCGATGTATACCTCCGCCAACGTTTCTAAATCAATTTTATACAATTTTTGGTACTCCTGTTTTTTCGGATCTAGTGAAGATTTTGCTGATTGTTCAGTGTTTTTCTATGGTTTGCTACACAACGCATGCGACATCCGAGCAAACGCATTAAGTGCAAGACATTTGCTGTTAGCAGTTTTGTAAAGCTCCATTTAGTTTTTTGAATCTTCGCAGAGCCAATCAGTGACCAGTGCTTTTATACTCCGTCATGGCGGAAGCAGCGATTTTGTCTGGAACAAAAGTTGCCAGGTAAGAAAAAGCACGACATCGTTACGTGAAAACAGTTTATAGTCGATGTCCGGAGGAAAATACCTAGGATTAATTTTTGGATCATAGGTTGAAACTCTGAAATTTAAATTTTCTGTGGTATTCCTGCCTTCCAAAGAAGATAAAAGCTATGTTTTGCCGCGCAAAATTTTTCCATTGATCTTCATCTTTTTGCGGCGTGTTACGGGTTGTTTATTCGGCTCCATGATGAAATCCCGTAGGAGAAAAAATCCCGCGGCCCAAAAATCCCGTGAGGCCGAAAATCCCGTAAGCCCAAAAATATCGCGGGGTCCGAAAATCCCGCAGGTACAAAAATCCCGTAGACTACTAACTGTACTTAGACTTATTTTATGATTTTGAAATGATTTACAGACCATCACCATATTTAGATATCAAAGGAGGTTTTCTGATGCAAGAATTCATGTTTCGAAGACGAAGTAGAGCTTAAAATAATTGGAGAAGTGAACAGTTTATATACAAAACAAATACAGGGACAAAGTCTAGATCCAAATGAAGTTTACATTTTTCTCACGTTTCCTTGTTAGAAAGGTGAGGAAGTGAAGTTGATTTTCTATAGAGAGAGGTAATTCCTAAATCTTCGGAATCCTTGGAAGGAAACCCCTCGCACTTTCACCATTTCATAATACAGTATTTGCATTCCTCCCAGGCAGTTGGAAGGAAAACTCCGAGAAAATATCACAATATTTGTAGTCTACAGGATTTTCGTACCTATGGGATTTTCGTACCTACGAGATTTTTGGACCCCGCGAGATTTTTGGGCCTACGGGATTTTCGGCCTCACGGGATTTTTGGGCCGCGGGATTTTTTCTCCCACGGGATTTTCTCCTGCACCCGTTTATTCATTGAACTAGTTAGACCGAGGAAGAATATGGCCGATTTTGACATGCTATTCCCTTTAGTTTAGTTCGTGATTCGATTGAGAAAAAGTTCAATCACACATTCATTTTTCTGACCGAAGGTGCCTCATGTGTGGAATTCGTATTATCAAAATTTGAACTGAACATGCAGTACTCGAGAAACGCTCAACGTGTGTTTTTTAACGAGGGTTGAAGTGGTTAATATGGAAGTTGTTCCGGTTACGCGTTGAATCGTGTAATTTGGATACTTTTATGATCATTCACTTGAATTCTCGAAAAGAGATACTGTAGTCTTTCAACGAAAAATTTAACGAGCTTCCATTTGTGGAACACTCATCAATATGCGTGCAACTATTCTATAGTTTCAAGTTTTGGAAATTACGTTTAATCGTTCCATGGAAAATTTTGTCTTTAACCTCCTTGATAGGTTTCATTTCGATTGTATTGTGTTACCCGAATCATTCATAACTTGCATGCATTCTAGTTGCTTTTCCAGTTGTGCCTAATCTGGAATGACATTTATTTGCAGTGAAGTACGAGAAAGCTTGAGAACTGAAGTGGAAGAAATGGGCCTTTCTGGGATCCGCCCAAATCTGCAAATTGTTCAAGTTGGAGATCGCGAAGACTCCGCAGCATACATTGGTATGAAGCTGAAAGCTGGAAACGAAATCGGAATCAAAGTCGACCATGTTCATCTTCCAAGAAACACAACCCAAGCACAGGTTTAGTATTCATTCAATTATCGTTTCATGCTTGTCTTTGGGCGGGACAAAGAAAAGATGACCCGAGTCTGTGACGGCATTGATGGAAAATATCATCAATGAACTGTTAGAACAACCAAGTTTGAATACATATTGTTGCCGTAAACCTAATTTTCCATTTTTTCATTCTTGAAGAATTCCTTTCAGTAAGGGTGATCCTTTCTTGCGAAAAATTTATAATTGCCTACGAGTTGATGAATAATAGCGTAGTTTTCGAGGAGTTGTCCATGAACCTGTTAAAAGGGGCAAATGAATATTCTGAATCTGAACTAATATTTTTAACTTTTGAAGTAAGTTCTTGAATGAATTTTGTGCAGATAGCTTGAAACTCTTCGTCTTGGTCAAATTTTCGAGAGGTACCGTTAGTGCAAATGATGGTCTCTCTTTTTGCAGTTGTTGCAAGCTGTGCGGAAGCTGAATGAGGATACAAATGTCCATGGCATCATCGTGCAAATGCCGTTAGACTCCGAGTATAAAATAGATTCCCGGTTGATTTTGGACGCTGTCAGCCCCGAAAAAGACGTGGATGGGTACGTAGTCCCGGATTATGTCGTGAGTCGTTTTCATTAATTGTAATTTATGTTTTTCGATTGTAGTTTGACGACTATGAGTGCCGGATTTGTGTCTCGAAAAGAATTGGATGCTGGTTTCATTCCATGCACTCCTGCTGGTTGCATGGAGCTGATCAAAAGGTTTGTCCGAATTAGCTGGGGTTTCCCATCTGTTCAATGTGCAGTTTGACCTCTTTATGTTGAACTACAAGGGATCAGCCAAAAAATCAGTTGTGGAAGTCTCGAGTTCGGGAAAGAAGCATTTTAGTAGAAGGAATTGATGATTTTCTGGACCTTGAATTGCTTCTTGAATGATGTTGGCAGGATGTCGAACTTGGAGACAAGGGTTTATTTGCAAAAATCGTGTCGCACTCTCTTTCAGAACACATCCAGGAACATTTGTGTTGCTTTTCTCTTTCCTCTGTCAATAAAATGATTGCCCATATGCCTCCTGGAAATTCGACGTGAACAGCGTCGAGTTATCGTGGTTCAACTTTGTTCAATAGGGTGAGAGAGGTTCACCGATGAAAAAAGAATGAAACTCTTTGGCTTCCTTTGCGTGAACAGTTACTTGTGAACTTTTTAAATGAGTTGGGCGTTATTCTCTTCAGCTGGATAAACCATTCAATGGCAACGAATTACAGTTTTCCAGACGTCATGTATACTTTCATCCATCACTACACGGTCCCATGTGTTCTGTGTCAATTACCATTCGAGTCGTTTTTTATTTTGCAGAAGTGGAATAGAATTGGCAGGATGCAATGCAGTAGTCATGGGACGCAGCCGGATCGTGGGGGAGCCAATGCGTGATCTTCTTGTCGCACACCACTGTACGGTTACCCAGTTACACTCCAAAACCAAGGATATTTCTGAGTGGGCATGTAGAAATTTCTTGCTGTATTTGAAAAGACAGGATGTCATAAACCCATACCGATATTTTAAGGTCTCGAAAGCTGATCTGCTTGTTGTTGCCATTGGAAGCGAGAATTTCGTCAAGGGTGAATGGGTGAAACCCGGTGCAGTCGTGATTGATTGCGGGATCAATGCTGTTCCAGGTCGGTTGCTTTTCTTCCATATTTCAAAATTTTGGGATTATACTTCGCCCACTATGAGGCCTGAGCTTTGATCTTCAAAATTATGTCGAAATTGTATCGTTAGCATGTTCCACTTCCCTGGGTTCAATTCTTCGAAAAACAACGATTTTCCCGTCAATGTTTCCTTGCGCTATGTGACTGCCATTTGATAACGAGGGTGGGAATTCAGCTGTTCTAATCAGTTCCATGATGTTGTTCGATTCTGGGCGTACTAAATATTATCAGACGCTGGTTACGTTCACTTAAAAAAAAAATAATTCTATTCTGTGCACTCGCATCAGTTTCAATGATTACGAGTATTGATCACATTGATACGTTGCATTTTAATGTTACGTGTAATCAGTGTACGAATTTTGAGGCATGATCATGAACGAATATGTTTCAAATACTGTAGATGATACTAAGAAAACAGGACGGAGATTGGTCGGAGATGTCGAATATGAAGTAGCAAAAACAAAAGCCTCATGGATTACTCCGGTTCCTGGTGGAGTTGGTCCCATGACTGTTGCGATGCTCATGAGAAACACTGTGATTGCCGCTCGGAAGCACGTCAAGCAGCTTCAGAAAACCGGATGGAATTTATCCACCCTTCCTCTGTCACGTGTTACTCCTGTTCCGAGGTTTGTCGAGTGTTCGATTATTTGGTTCAAAAGTACCTTGTAAATCGACTTCGAGAGGTTTCCAGTTAGGGAAACTAGGTCTGAAGATGTTTTCTGTGAATTCTAAAATTAGTAATTCTGGCTCACTTTTTTGGCTGCAACTGTGTGTAGTGTGTTCAACAGCATTTCCCTAATTATTCCCTTGACATGAAGGTGTCCCACCTTGGAAAGTGTACTGTAAATGAGTCTAAAGGATGCAGACCGGCCAGCAAAGATTTCATGGACCGATTAAAGTTATTCGTTTTTATTTCCGAAAGCCTGACCATTTGAATTTCCTGTCCTTCCTCGTCTCCTCAAATTTCAAGTCAGGGAGTTTCTCAGTTGAAAAATTTCAAGTTGAGGAGGTTCAAGCAATTTTCATGAAGATAAAACTGGAAACAAAGTCAAGTTAGGGAGGTTCAAATTGAAGAAGTCCGTCTGTATTTGTTTTATAAATGTGTGCGTTGATAGTGATATCGACGTTGCGAGGTCTCAAACGCCAAAGGACATATCCGACCTGTGCCATGAAATCGGTATTCTGCCTTCGGAAGTTGAATTGTATGGAAGGACGAAGGCCAAGATTAGTTTGGATATTTTGAAGCGATTGCAGAGTCGAAAGAACGGGATGTACGTCGTTGTAACTGGGTGAGTTCTCGCATATTTGATATTTTTCTTTGGCATCAAATTCTTTCTTTTGCAATACACTTGAATTGTTTTTAAGTGTCGTCATCAGTTGTTTTTCAGGATTTTATATTTTCTCGATGATTGAGACAAAATCGTAACTTCGCGAGTATCGGTTTGGTGAAGGAGAAAATCTTGACTTTTTTTCAGGATTACCCCCACGCCTCTTGGAGAAGGCAAGAGTACGACGACAATGGGGCTGACTCAAGCATTGGGAGCTCATGTTGGACGAAATGTTTTTGCATGTGTAAGACAGCCATCGCAGGGACCGACATTCGGGATCAAAGGTTGTGTACTGATTTCCTAATCGTGTTAAAACTTCTTGTATTCTTACAAATCGCCTTAAACTTGAAAAAATGTAGGTGGAGCTGCTGGAGGTGGATACTCGCAAGTGATTCCTATGGAAGAATTCAATCTTCATTTGACGGGAGACATTCACGCGATTACGGCGGCGAACAATCTTCTGGTTGGTTGATTATTTTATTCGAAACAATGATTATTGATGGTAAAGTGACTTTTTTTGCGCAGGCTGCTCAAATTGATGCGAGAATGTTTCACGAGAAGACGCAAACGGATCCTGACCTGTTCAGGCGGCTTGTTCCATCTGTGGGCGGAAAAAGGACATTTTCTGAAATACAAGTGAGTTTTCAGGTTCCTGGACTTGATCGACATTTGTGATCGAGGAGAAACCAATTGATCAGGACGTGTCATTTGTCATATTGTATTTGGTTTTGTTTTTTTCGTGAAAGGTGAGGCGATTGAAAAAACTCGGGATTGAGAAGAGAAATCCGGATGACCTGACACCCGAAGAAATCGCTAAATTCGTGCGACTGAATATTGATCCGGACACGATAACGTGGCAAAGAGGTACGAATTTCTCTCAAGTGATAGGGTTTTTTTTTTTGGCAAGTTCCAGCATGCCCTTGAGCGCCGAATCTTTTTTCCGATCTGATCAATTCGGGATGATTATGGAATGTCAATGAGCAAATTATGCCGTTACGTAAAAGCAGTTTTAGAAAGGAAGTGAGAGAAAAGTTTTGACGTACCTTTCTCTTCGTTTATGCGTGGTTTGATATGCTTGAATCTGTTTGCTTCAGTCATGGACACAAACGATCGATTCCTGCGGAAAATCCGTATTGGCTTGTCGCCCACGGAGAAAGGACACTCCCGGGATTGCCAATTCGATATTGCGGTTGCAAGTGAGGTCATGGCTGCCCTAGCGTTGACAACTGACCTAGGAGATCTGCGCGAACGTCTTGGAAGACTCGTTGTCGCATCTGATCTTGACGGAAATCCTGTTACAGCTGATGACTTGGTTAGTTATTCCTTGTTACGATGAATCATGAATTATAATTACTGTATTCTCCTGCGTTCATGCAAGAATTTCTCTTGATTGAACTTCTTGCAAGAATTTGGTGACGCCGACCTTCCTTTGTTTGAAGTCCATGCAACGGTCGTCTAGATCATAATTCTATCGAAAACGACGTTGCAGTCGCTGAATTGTAACAAAATGACGTATTCCGACGGAAATTAAGACGAATGAGGCGAATTGAAATTTCTGCGATGGTTATTCTGTCCCTTCTTTGTCAAAGCACTAGATTAAATAACATTAATGCTATTGGGCAGGAACCTGAAAAAGGACCTCGTTGTAACTGATGATGCGTTATAACGAGATTTTACTGTACTTCATAATTTTATTTTGGTGGATAAACGTTCGTGACTTCTTTTCCATTCTCTTTCTCTACGCCGTGGGCATACTTGTCCCGGGAAATGCGTATGACACTCCATATTCGGACTATTGATGAGTTAGATCCGGTTCCTTCCAAATACAGGGTGTCGGAGGAGCCATGACAGTCCTCATGAAAGATGCAATCCGCCCGAATCTCATGCAGAGCCTTGAAGGGACTCCAGTGTTCGTCCATGCTGGTCCGTTTGCCAATATTGCGCACGGGAACTCGTCAATTCTTGCCGACCGAATCGCATTGAAGCTGGTTGGGGAAGAAGGGTTTGTTGTCACTGAAGCTGGATTTGGAGCCGATATCGGAATGGAGAAGTTCTTCAACATCAAGTGCCGTTACTCGGGACTAATTCCAAATGCCGTTGTTCTCGTTGCCACGATACGTGCTTTGAAGATGCATGGTGGGGGTCCAACAGTAACAGCGGGCACTCCAATTCCCGAGGCTTATCAGCAGGCAAGCAGGAGTTTTTTATTTATTTATTCTGTTTTTCCTCTCGATCGAGTTCGTGAGAAAAGTTCCCCTAAATTTGCACGGAAATTAGTGTACTAGTGTGTACCGTGAACTCCGATGCGAAAAAATTAAGTCCTCACGCAGTAGTCTTTTTTTTTTTTAAGAAAGGGGTACTTGGCGTAACGCTGTGATGCTTACCGTTTTTCCTTGTGTGAGACGCGCACAGGGGGTTTTCAGTTGAAAAATTTGATGAATCCTATCCCAGAGCAAGACGCGCAGCCCCCGTTTTAATGACTCTGAATGCACCAAATTTCGAAAATAAGGAACACCAAAATTTAAATTCAGACATGAAATTGAGCATGAATTTTCATTTTTCCCATTAAAATGAGTTTTTCTGCGGAAATTGGTCCAAAATTTCCCATTGGAATCAAGCATAATGCACACCGAAATTTCTAAAACTTCGGGCGCGTTGCACTTCAGCAAATTGCTTTTTGTTTACTGAAATTGGGCATTTTGGTGTTCGTAATTTTTCTAATCAACGCGTTCTGTTGTTCAGTAGGTCTGTAATCCGAAGAATTTTTAATGTACCGTGCTAAATCAAGTGCTACGCACCCTCGAGTGAGACGCTCACTAGGGTTTTTAGTCAAAATTTTTTATAAAATTATATCATGAAGTCAGATGAGCACCCCATTTTTATTGACTCGAAAACTTACAGTATTTCAAAAATCAGAACACCTAAATTTGAATTTAGGTATGAAGTGATCCTGAATGAAATCAATTTTCCATTATTTCCGTTGCAATAAGTTTTCTGCTGAACTTATTGGAAGTTTTCCATCGGAAGCAAGTATAATGTACTCCTGAATTTCTAAAACTTTTTGGAACACTTCTACCCACCTATGACGCTCACCCACTTTTTCCCTTTCAATTTTGAGCGAAAAGGTGCGATCCAGGACATGTATTTGTATTACTGAAGATTCCTTCGTATCTGTGCTGCAGGAAAATGTTGATTTGGTGGTGAAAGGATGTGCAAATCTTCGAAAGCAAATTGAAAACGCCAACAAATTTGGAATCCCAGTTGTTGTTGGCATCAATTACTTCCCGTGAGTACCGTTCAGTTCAATACAGCATTATTTTCCAGTTTGTGTGAGAGTTCAACTTCTGCGTCCTGTTTCTGAAATCAAATTTTCGTGAAGTAGAGAAGAATTATCGATTACAGTACTGAAGTATAAAAAGTGTTGGTTTCTCTTCCGTTATGTTTTCTAACGACATGTTAGATGCAATTTTGGATTTGGAATCGCATGCATTGAGATTTGACGGAAGTTTTTCGCAATTTTTCGATGCTGGGATTGGAAAATAAACTGTTCATTAAAATATTTTCAAGCTTGAATAGTGAAAAACCTGCCGTTTTGTTTTCAGAACGGACACTCCTGCAGAGTTGCAAGCCGTACGTGCAGAAAGTTTGAATGCTGGAGCAGTTGAAGCCGTAGTGTGTAAGCATTGGGCCCTGGGAGGAGAGGGAGCTGTTGATTTGGCGAAGGCTGTGGAAAAGGCCTGTCAATTGCCGTCCAATTTCAAGTGAGTATCCTATTAATTTGAATAATATTGCTGCGTCATACTTACCTTGAATTATTTCCAGATTCTTGTACGATTTGGACGTGGGCATTGCGGAAAAGATTGAAAAGATTGCCAAGGAAATTTATGGCGCTGATGGAATCGAACTTTCGGATGAAGCGCAGATAAAAATCGACAGATATACTCGACAGGTACCGAAGTTCATGTCTTTTTTAGTGTTCTAAATTTTTTTTAGTAAAGTAGGTCCCCGAGTTACGGACGTAATTGGTTCTTGGGCTAACTTCCGCATGCTGGAAAGCATTTTATCATGGGCTCTAAAGAGAACATATTTAATTGGTTCTCTTGGTCGAACATTTTTAATATCTCCCTCGAAAGATTGAATGAATAAATGTTTCTTGACTTACAGGAACAGAAAATTACTTTGCGTGAGAAAACCATTCTTTTGGCTAGAAGAGGAATCTGAAAAACAAAGAAAAAGCACACATCTTGGTTCACTGTCTACAGTTGATGAGAAAAACCTTGAAAAGAGCACTCAGAAATTATGAATTGTACGGTACTGTAATATGATAAGATTCATTTCTAATTTTTTGAATGTACAGTTGAACCTCTCAGAGTCGAATTTTTAGGGACCAGGAAAAGAATTCAACTTGAAAAGGTTTTGATATTATGAGGTTTTGAGTTAAAAAAAAAATCTATTTTGATGCTAGGATGAGTGAAAAAAACTGCAGGAAATTGTAAATGAGGATATTCTGGGCCTAAACTTGCTTATAAATGAGTTTACAGCTAGCTGAACTTGGATGCAGGGGTTCATTTGCATAATGAGTCTTTCACCTCTTGAAAAATGCATGAAAAAAATTTTCCATTGATTTTTTCTTTCATGTTCCAAAGAAAAAGGTAACAAAAAGGCCTTGAAAAATTCAAATTACAGAGGTTTGAGAGAAAAAGACTTCGAGTTTGAGGTGTTTTTATTGCATTGTTTCTAAGGAAATCAGATGGGGACTAGAAAAAAATTCGAGTTAGGGGTGTACTCGATTTAGGGAGATTCGACTGTAAATAGCTAACTTAGATCAAAAGATACCAAATTTTTGAAGAAGTAATTTTTTTTTTCGAGAAATGGCTAAGTGTTTGTATCTCGGAGCCCCTCTATATTTTAAATGCATGTAATCCCCATCGCCGAAGTACTTGGAAACATCACAGCATTTTTGTTTTGATTTTGTTCAGCTGTTATCTCAGATATTTCTGTTTCTTTCTCATTTTCGTGGTAGAACCGATTGTTGACTACATTGTACACTCTATTTTCAACAGCATTACTTTTTAAGATTAACTTTGTGACCCCAACTCGTTCTTTTTGAAGGGATTTGGGAATTTGCCGATTTGTATGGCGAAGACACACTTGTCACTATCGCATGATCCATCCTTGAAAGGCGCTCCAAAAAATTTTGTTTTGCCGATTCGAGACGTGAGAGCAAGTGTTGGAGCGGGCTTCCTGTTTCCGCTAGTCGGAACGGTGAGTTATCATTCCGAAACGTACCTTTTCATTTGAATTCAGCTTAAAAGTGATAAATGACTTGTCATACTTTTTTTTAGATGACGACAATGCCTGGATTGCCGACGAGGCCTTGCGTGTTCGATATTTCAATCGACCCGGAAACTGGCAGAGTTGAGGGCCTATACTGAGTATATTCCGTTTGATTTCTTTTAGTTTATTTCTTGAACCTAATATTTCATGCAATTTTTGTCTTAAATGTCGTCGTCGTTACTTTTTTAAATTTCTGAATGAAATGAGATTAGTCTAAGGCTCTAAGCGATGGAGCATCTTTTTTTTTTTTTTCTCAGAAGATACCTTTTTAGAGTTTTTTTTTACCATCCTAAGGATTCTTTTGAATTCTTATCTGGGTCAAACTGAAAGTTTTTGTTTTGTATCGTTGGGATTGTTCGGATTCCTTTCAGACGACGTATTTCCGAAACCATCCGTGGAAACGCACATTTTCGAATCTATTGGCAGCTGCAACGTTCGAACAACAGAAAAGGCGTTTTCATTCGTTGGTTTTGAAGCCAATACTCTCGCCTGAATATTCCCCTGTGGTCCAGCGCAGTTTTCTTGGCCTTGTTTACGTTACCCGCAAAATATTTATGCTGTTGAGGTGATGGGATTTATTGTTTGAGAGATAGAAGTTGTGTTTCACATTTTGCGCACTAACGGGTGATTCTGAAAGAGGATGTCTTCGGGAAATCAACAACGATGAAACGTGTGCAATGGTTAGAGCATAGGAAGAGGGGATTTACACGGACCCCCTCGAAGACGTGAGTGTTCTTGTTGAGCTCCAGGTGGTGATTTTAAGTGTTCCGTAATGTTGGAGTCGGAATATGAAGCGAATTCTTACGAACAGAATTTATTTTCAGCTAGCTCATCTGTCGGTGCCAATTCTCTGGGGAAAAAGAAACGCATTAATTTGTGATGTCGGAATGAAATCTCGCGGGCTTGAAATGTTTTCATGTGGTTTTAGCTCGTGCATGACGGCCTACAAACTGTTCTGTCACTTGAACTTGACGGTTGTGGGGAGTTACTTTGTTGGAATTGCTATTTTCGAATTTAATCCAGAATATCGTATATTTTAGAAGCCATATCATCTCAAAACGATTATTGTAAGAGATAAAATCGTTGGGATTTTCTGGTTTAAAAGGATTTATTTCTGTCTCCGTGTTTGATTTTTGTTCTATTTCTTTTGTTTCCAGGTTTTGTGCCAAAGATTTTTTTTTTAGCTACAGTATTGTTGGTAGTGCTCATGACCATGGTCACGCGATGCTTGTGAAATCAGCTGCAGCGTTGGTTGCGTTTTCGCTGCTGGCTTGTATTTCAGATGGGCTACCGTTGCTCACTTGGGGGCCCGTGCAAATTATTCGCAATATTGTGTTTGGGACGCGGAGTGCCAGTTTTCGCGAGGAAAGGTCAAGCGATGCTGATACTTATATTGGTGAAGTGAATCTGACTAGTCCGGCACCAGTGCAAGAAGATGCTGAGACTCGAGTGGATCCATCTCCATTGTTGAAAGTTGATTTGCCTATTTATGGGTGAGTGATTTTTTAGCACGTAAAAGCGTCTCTTGTATTTTTCCGAGTGCCAGGGGTCCAACGAATTTTCTCGGAATATACATTTAAATGGCACACAATTGAACTCGAAAGCTATTATTGTTCAGTAAAACATTCTTTGGCACAAGAAAAAAGTTCAACCCTGTTTGACATGTTTTTCAGAATTTTATTTTTTCATAAGTCACCATGGTACTTTTCCGCTGCTCACTCAAAAGATGACGCGCCCATCTCGCAGATTTTTTTGGCGTACCAGAGCTTTCCCTCCGGAATGCATGAAATTGACATTACATTAATTCCACTGGTTGTCGCCATTGATTGATTATTAATTCCGTCGTTTTCATCAACAGTCGCCACTTGGTATGAGAATTTGCTGCGCTTAATGAAAATGGCGAAATTATCTTGTGACATCTGAAGGGAACCATTGAAATAAATTCCATATCGATTTCAAAAATTCTGAAGGGAAAACTAGGTTGGGCCGGTAAATCTGCGGGATGAGTGCGTCATCTTCTGAAAACAAGAGCAGAAAGCTGCCAGGGTTTCTTCAGAAAGCAATACAAACGGTATGGTGAAAAGGGCTGAATTTTTCTGTTGTGGCAAAAAAAATTTTTTCTGAACAATACTGGAATGGTTTTTTAGCTCGATCATATGCCATTTCGATTTCCATCCCGAGAACTTCTATGAGATTAGTGTAGTAGGTCGTTATTCATCACTACAAACTAGCTTCTCCTGAAAAATCTAGTGCGAAGCAGCGAGTAGCAGTACCGAAGGAGAGCCGATGAATAAACGTACCCTAGTCTGTCCTAAACATTTGCAGTTTGGTGTTTTAATTTTTGCGTGTCCGAAAATTTGCGGGTTACATATTTTCTTATGCTTGCTCGTGTAAGACTCGCTTCAAGGATTTGCTCGCAGGCTTTAACTTCCTTCAATCGTTTTTTTATTCAGTACCAGATGTTACGGCGTACTCGGATGCCTGTCCATCACGACGGATTGGTACTCGACGTTGAGACCTGTGAATGTATTTCCGAGCGCACGAGAAGACATCAACACAACATTTTTGCTCTTCAATCCCGAAGGCAATGTGAAAACTGTGAACGCCTCGGGATCTTCCTTCAGCGTGCTCATTTCATCTGGCGATTTCAACGTCTCTTGGCCCACTGTGTTCATCATCCACGGGTACTTGGACACCGGGTTCCGTACATGGGTTCGGGTTAGTATCCCACTAGAAATTCCGTGCTACTTTGAAATCCCGCGCTCCATTTTATTTTCTCAATTTTATGTTTCTTGGTAAAATTTAGCTATTTTGAAGTTAGTGAACGATAAGGACGCGTGCGCTTCCTTGTCAATTCAATTCGTTTTCACAATAAGTTCCTGCAAATAAATTTTCGACCAGGAAAAGAGAATATCTTCAACAAAGAAAAAATTATGTATGTCGTCACGAATTGCGAATTTTAATGATTTTTTCTGTCGACAGGCAATTGCAGAAGCCTTGAAAGCCGTGGAACTGTGCAACGTGATAGCGGTAGATTGGAATGGGGGTTCTCTGGTGCAATATATCCAATCGACTGCCAATATTCGTCTGGTGGCTTTGGAAATCGTGTACCTGCTCAAATTTCTGCGTGATCATCATGACCTGCGTTTCGGAAATGTGCATTTGATCGGTCACAGTTTGGGAGCGCACACGGCTGGTTATGTAGGCAGCCATTTGTCAGGCATTGGGAGGATAACAGGTACAATACGCTAAATTTCTTCTTGCTTACGTGCCCAAATTCAGTAGAGTTGAACCTCGATAACTCGAACCTCCGTATGTCTGAATTCCCTAAAAAACAATTCATTAAAAATTTATCTAATTCAAAGGGCTTTCCTCCCTCAAACCTTCATAACTCGAATTTTCTGGAGGCCGATTATTATTTTTTGACTCAGGTAAAAAAAATCGATGAAAATTTCACCGTGATGTGTTTTACAAAGAAGTGAAAAACTAATTGGACAAATAAACCCTTGCCTCCAAGTTCAGCATCATGTAAACTCGTTTGAGAAGCAATTCAAGGCTCGAAATATCATCAATAGCAATTTCCCTTAATTCTTCATCCTACCCCCCAAAACAAATGCTTGTTTTCCTGACTCGAACTCTCCCTATGTCGAATTCTTCGCTGGTTCCTTAAAATTCGACTGTTTTTTAAATTTACCTCCTCTTTTTGTTTTTGAGAAGAAAATGTGGCTCTCTAAAGTCGTGTTCGTTGATAAAATCAAGCTTCTGCTCGTAGTGTATGTTTTCCATTCAAAATTTCCTCAGCTCGTGTGATCGTGAATTTCGCACGAGAATATTTTCCGTTTCTAATCTAGTCAAAAGGTTTCCCGGACCCCGTCTGTGAAATCTTTTGAAGGTTATTAAGTTAGAAATATAATAAATCGTGAAACTTGCGTTGAAATTGTGAGGACAACATATGCATTCGCAACAATTCTCCTTGACTAAGTATCGTGCAGGATGTGTCTTCCGTTTCAGCGTTGGATCCAGCGGAGCCGTATTTCCAGGGGCTCCCGGAGTTCATCAGACTCGACCCAGGCGATGCGGAGTTCGTCGACGCCATTCACACGGATGGGAACTCAATATTCATGCTTGGATACGGGATGAGCCAACCCTGTGGGCATGTAGACTTTTATCCCAACGGCGGCCGGCAGCAGCCCGGCTGCAGCTTGGTCCGAGTCCCGCTCAATTTCCTATTCGAAGGCGTGGAAAGTGCGAGCAGAGACGTCGTTGCTTGCAACCACCAAGCCGCCATCAAGTATTTTCTCGAATCCATCAAGTCGTCGTGTCCGTTCATGTCGATTGAGTGCTCGTCGTATTCGGATTTCTTGGCCGTGAGTGATCTTTTCTTCGCCGTACATTTATATTGCTACATGTGGACTTTCTCCGACGAAACTCAAGAGTACATAGAAAAATTAAAATCCATTCTAGAGGAACCCTTATAGCCTGGGGTGAGAAACCTATGCGACCTCTCAAAGGAATCGTTATGCAGTACAGAGACAATTGTTGCAGAAAGAGTCCACCTGTTGTATTGAAACTGTTCCTCACTTTAAAACTAGTTTTGAGAAAAGTTTTCTTCGAAATGCGTTGCTCCGGCGTTTTTATTCACACTTGTCTCTTTATGCCTCCTCGATTTTTTGTGTTTTTGCGTTTCACGATTTTTCAACTACCTCCTCTCCGTTTTCTTTTAAAATAGAGTTGGGCATTGAGCAATAAACGTCCTAGGCGGGATTTTTTTTGCATGACGAACCCGACGCCATTCTGATGCCATTGTGCCTTCTTGCCGTAAGCAACGAATTTGAGTTGAACAAATTTCAATTCAATTAGAAAAAAGAAAAAATCATAAAATATTTTTCTTTCGAGATTAAAAAAAAAAAATTTAAATTTGTATGAAAATTTACTGGTAGAATCTTCGTACGATGAAATTCGATGGAACCGGAACAAATTATTGTTGAAAACCTGTTTAACATGGCGGAAGAACCCTACTGGGCAAACCAAAAATTTTTTGGACGGAGAAAATCTTTGTAGACGAGATTGTTGAAGAGAGTCCACCTGTACTCACAAATAAAAAATGAAAATCAGAAGAAAAAACTTACTTCTGTCTGTTCAAAGGGACATCGAATTCATCGAGGAATTCGAATTTACCTTGTGGTTCTAATTTTGCATTCCTTTTATGATTCTCAGTTGATAACCTATCACCAGTAGTAAGGAATGTGATCTTCGTATTTGTGTCTGTTTTCGCATTTATCGTGCTCATTTTCATTGTTACACTTATATAATTTTTTAATTGGGAACCATTTAAAAAGTATTCCATAAATTACTACGGTAAATTGTGGCTTGCGTAAAGGAAGCTTTGAGGAATGAACCAACAACTGAAACATGTCCGGCTCTTTTTTCGAGGCCCCACTGTTAACAAAGTTACTGAATGTTCAAATACCTGTATCCCGTCGAAGACCAATTGTAAATTAGTTTCCCATTTTTTCGTTCAGGGAAGATGCTTGGATTGTGGGTCTGATAGCAGCGGTTGTGCGGAAATGGGTTTTAGAGCGGGTCACTACAAATCTCGACTTGGAAACAGAGAGCTGGTGAAGATGTACGCGGTCACGAATTCTTACCCTCCGTATTGCTGTAAGCTTCATTTCCCTGTTGAAAAATCTTGAGATCATGTTTCAAACCTGTTTCTTTTCTCTTCCAGTGTATCAGTACGGCGTTTCCGTTTCTCTTGGAAAGCCGAGTCATGCGAAGAAAACACTGAAGGGATTCTTGTATGCGTCAATCGAAGGCAAGAAAGGGATCTTGCCGCATAAGAACTTGACCGATATAGAGTGAGAGTCCTTTTTTGCTTTTAATGAGTGGAAGACATTTTTTTGAGGCTCTTGTGCCGCGAGAGACCGGGGGGTCATTTTTTTCATGGTGGTTTATTTCAGGATTCCGGGGAATTTCGAACGTGGGAACACGTACAATTTCCTTCTGCGATCACCGGTGGACGTTGGTTCAATCGTTCGCGTTGATTTGCACTGGGATTATTATCAAGCATATCACGACCCGTCCACTCTGTGTATTCTTGTGTGCAGCAAACATTTGTACGTCAGCAAGGTCGCCGTCAGCTATCTTGACTCTGTTCGCTCCGACACAAGGTTTGCATACTTCTTATTTTCCGAACGAATTTTGACGATGCAATTGGAGAAATTCTTGGAAAACTTACGTACAGTACATTACAACCTTGATATCTCGAACCTCTCTAACTCAAGAGGGCTTTCCCCCTCTTATCTCCATAACTCGAATTTTTTGAAGACCTTCCAGCTATTCTTCATGGACACAGGGAAGAGAAAAGTAATAAAAAGGTTACTTGATGGGTTTTCAAAATATTGTAAGTGTAAGACTAATTGGGCAAATTAACCCCTGCCTCCAACTTCCGCATAATTTAAACTCATTTAGGAAGTAATTTAAGGCCCAGAATATCGCCAATTTTAATTTCTTGTAATTCTTCTTTCTCTCTGCCTACAAAAAATGCGTGTTTCCCTAACTCGTCAGTTTTTTTGCTGTCCCCGTGAAGTTGGGCTGACCGTAATACGACCGAATGTCAATTCCCGGCAGATTATATATCATCCCGCGTGTGATGTTCTTTCTGCTTTGCACTTGAACATGCGTTAGATACGTGATTCTTCGCCGGAAAAGTTTCTTGGAATGGAACCATTTACATAATTACAGTGCTGTATTTTATTTTTTCCAGGAGCCCGATAAGGAACGATACATTTTGTGATGAAAGATTCCTGTACACCGAGGTGCAGTCTACTTCGTGGGCTTATTTTAAACTGAACGATGCTTGCCACTGAAAGAAGCTGTGTTTGTATCATTGCTGCTCTATTCATTGTTGAACAAATGTGCTATTGTTCTGACGAAAGACTGTGCTGGAAAATTCAACTGTCGTTAACGAGTTGCTCAAGCAAAGAGCTGGAGGTCTTAATCTAGCCAATGAGTAATCGGCTATATTTTTGGGACAACTTGTTGTGCTCTTTATTTTTTGTATCTTGTTGCTGTGTTTGTTGAGTTTTGTTTATCAAATATCAATAGAAACAAATCTGCTCGTTCATGGGTTATTTTCATGATTTTTACCCGGTTCTTCAGCTTTTTTTCTCTGATTTCAATTGAGGTTCTTCTGTCAGATTGTTGCAGGGTTGTGTTGAAAGAAAGAGTGCGTCAAGATGGAGGCTGCTGCTCCAGGGAAACCCCAGAAGTTGCCGAAAGTAGCCAAGGTTCGTGTTGGTTAATCGATATTCGTTTATTGGTGTATTTTTAAACCCTTTTTTCTCTTTTAGGTCAAGAACAAGGCGCCAAATGAAATTCAAATCACAGCCGAACAGCTTCTTCGGGAGGCGAAAGAAAGAGACTTGGAAATCGTTGCTCCGGTATGTACGAGTAATGATTTAATTGAATATGAATCAAGATTTTCATTGAAAATTGTTTTTTATGCTCAAGCCTCCACGACAAAAAATTGCCGATGCCGTGGAACTCGCAGATTATCGTCTACGGAAACGGAAAACTTTCGAGGACAACCTCCGAAAAAATAGACTGATGATTTCCAATTGGATTAAATATGCACTTTGGGAGGAAAGTCAGAAAGAGGTTCAACGGTAAGAAACGAGACGAAATACCTCTTCCGAACATACCATTGAAAATTGAATACAATTTTCCAGAGCGAGGTCTATTTTTGAGAGAGCCCTTGATGTCGATCACCGAAATATCACGCTGTGGTTGAAGTATGCCGAGATGGAAATGCGAAACAAGCAGGTGAACCATGCTAGGAACATTTGGGATCGAGCTGTGACGATTTTACCTCGTGCCAATCAGTTTTGGTACAAGTACACGTACATGGAGGAAATGTTGGGCAATGTCGCTGGTGAGTTTTCCTTGGGCTTTCTAGAATTGATTTTACAGTCAAACTTCAAAGTAACGAGCGAAATAATGCGAGTTAGGGATACTTTATTTTGAGTTGGGGAAACGCGAATTTTTGAGGTTAAATAAAGGATGACAGGGAATTGTAATTGTTGATACTCCGGGCCTTAAATTGTTCTTTATTGAGTTGACAAATTGCTGAACAAGGGTTTAGTTGCTCAATTTGTCTTTCACTTTTTTATAAGTATTGTACATCGAGTTAGATTTTTTGCTGATTTCTTTTCTTTGTCACTAAAATAATAGGCAAAAGGCCTCCAGAATATTCGAGAGGTTTGAGGGGAAAAGCCTTCGAAGTATGAATGTTTTAAGGAAATTCAAACAGGTACTTGAAAAAATTGAAATACGGAGGTATTTGACTTCGAAAAGTTCCATTTAGTGAGGTTCAGCTGTAATCGAAATTCTCTTTAGAAAGTTGGTCGAAATATCAAGCTTTTTGCACGTTATATAGTGCTCGAATTAAATGGTCTTCCCTTTTTGCACGAAATTAGGGGCAAGAGCTGTATTTGAACGTTGGATGGAATGGCAACCGGATGAGCAAGCGTGGATGACCTATGTAAAGTTCGAGTTGCGTTACTCGGAACGAGAAAGAGCCCGTGATATTTATGACCGCTTCGTAATGACCCATCCTGAGCCGAAGAACTGGATCAGATTCGCCAAATTTGAGGCAGACGGTGGCAATTCATCTGCTGCTCGTCAGCTTTTCGAACGTGCCGTGGAATTCTTTGGGGAAGACTTCCTCAATGATAAGCTCTTCATTGCGTTTGCCAGATTTGAAGAGTCTCAAAGAGAGGTGAGATTTTTCGTTGAATACGTAATTTTTGAAGTTCAATACTCTTCAAGGAAACGACGAAAAATCGAAGTTAGGGAGGTTTCGAGTTTAAAAAAAAAAGAATTTTGGGGGGGGGGGGGGGGGGAAAAATAAAATTAGGATAAAAACAAAACAACCACATCTTCGAGCTATTTGGGGCATTCAAGTGATAACTCACCCCTTGGTCATTCTGTGCCTTAAATTGCTTCTTGAATTAGCTGACATGATGTCGAAGTTTGATGCGAGGGCTCATTTCCCCAAATAGTCTTTAATTTAAAAGCGCATCAAGTTACATTTTTATTGCTTCTCTCTTTTCTGTGTCAATGACAATTTAGCCAAAAAGCCTCCAGAAAATAAGCCCTCGGGGTGAGGAGGTTTTTCGTGCGTTTTTTTTTTTTCGAAGCGAATCTAGGCAGGGACTTAGAAAACATTCGACATAGGGAGATATTATGTTTGACTTGGGAAAGTTCGACTGTATAATGTTCTTTTTCAGCATGACAGAGCGAGAGTGATTTACAAGTATGCGTTGGATCATCTCCCAAAAGAGCAGTGCGAAGAAGTTTACAAAAGTTATACTATTCACGAGAAGAAATATGGTGACAGATCCGGCATTGAAGACGTGATTGTCAGCAAGCGGAAGTTTCAATACGAAGAGGTCAGTATCCCAATTTTGGTCCGTTTGGAACATTTCATGGGGTTTGTTTTCTCTCACTATCTGATTCAACTTCATAAATATTGTAGGGTTGTCTTGAATTAGCGTGCATATTTTGCGAAAAATCATTTAAATACTGTGTAGTCCATGAATTCTGCCCGTGTACATTAGCGTGCCGATTTCCTTTCAATTCATATTTTTTATACCTCTGAGAATGTTGGCGTTAGAATTAATTCGCTTCGCTGATTTTTTTCGTATTTTTACATTTTGAAGTTGCGCACGTTTTGTTCAACGTTTATTGATGTCCAAAGAATGATTCATAACTTGGAAGGTGTATGTTCTGATTTTATCGGGATAATTTTCTGTGCTTTTCGGATTTCTCTATTCCAGGAGGTCAAAGCAAATCCGTTGAATTACGACGCGTGGTTTGATTACTTGCGTCTGGTGGAATCCGAAGGCGATGTGGAAACCATTCGTGACACTTACGAGAGAGCGATTGCCAACGTTCCCCCGATTCAGGTATTTTTTTTCTTTCTTTATTTCAATCATCAGCGGATGTTCGAATGGTTCTTCCATGTTCTAAAAAATTGTATTATTCTTGCAGCAAAAGCGATACTGGCGAAGATACATTTATCTGTGGATTAATTACGCTTTGAGGGAAGAAATGAAAAACAAGGACATCGAGAGAACGAGACAAGTTTATAAAGCGTGCCTAGATTTGTTGCCTCACAAGAACTTCACGTTCAGTAAAATTTGGCTGCTGTTCGCCTATTTTGAAATCCGACAAAAAGAGTTGCAAGCAGCCAGAAAAATTTTGGTGAGTTATGCGAAATAAACCCGATTTATTTTGCTTTGAAGTCTTTGCCATTTTTTGGTTTGTAATTAAGATTTTTATACATTTTTCATGTCTCGTTTAAGGGAAGAGGAATTGGAATGTGTCCGCGAGAAAAACTTTTCCGTGGTTACATCGACTTGGAAATCCAGCTTAGAGAATTCGACAGATGTCGGATTCTGTACGAAAAATTCCTCGAGTTCGACTCCGCCAATTGTTCAACGTGGATGAAATTCGCAGAACTAGAATTGTTGCTCGGCGACGTGGACAGAGCCCGTGCAATTTTCGAGTTGGCCATTCATCAAGATGTCTTGGATATTCCTGAAGTGCTCTGGAAAGCTTATATCGATTTTGAAATCAATCAAGAAGACCATACGCGAGTCAGGCGACTGTATCGAAAATTGCTGGAGAAGACGAGTCACGTGAAGGCATGTATAAATTTCCATGCTCGCCTCAGATATTATTTCCGAGTCAGAGTAAATTTCAGTCATTCTGAAGCGTGATCTTCGTTTTTTTTTTTTTTCTGTAGGTGTGGGTTAGTTTTGCTCGTTTTGAGGCGGAAGCGACAGGACCGGAAGGAGCGAGGAAGTTGTTCCGGGAGGCCAATAATTATTTGCGGGACGAAGGAAGAGAGAAAGAGGATAGGTTGCATTTGTTGGAGGGATGGAAATCGTTTGAAGAGGAGTTGGGTGACGACGGTGAAATGGACAAGGTTAAAGCCTTGATGCCGAAGAGGGTCAAGAAGCAACGGAGGACGCAGAATGACCAAGGGGTGAGTTATCACTTGAATGCCCCAAATAGCTCGAAGATGTGGTTGTTTTGTTTTTATCCTAACTTGAATGCCGGACGTCTTCGTCTGATGCAGTGTGGCCCAGATTTAAAGATGACTCGATTTAGGGACACTTGAAACTAAGAACAAAACAATCTGCGCCGACATCTGGGCAATTTTTTGCCGTACAGACACTTCGCCAATATTTCTGGAAAACTTATTCTATATTCCAAAATTTTGAAATCCTTTGAACAAATTTAGAGATTTGTACAGTTGAGCCTCGAAAAGCCGCCACCATTCGTTTTTTGAGGCTCGTGGCGGTTTTACGTGGTTGATAGTTCATCAAGAACCCTAAAATAAAATGAAAATCAGTTTCACTGTAATAGAAAATGTCTTGATGTTCTAGAAAAAAATCAAAAGAACTCTGTAATGTGTAAATTATTCCTAGCTAATGTTCCCAAGAAGAAAATTATGTCATCTTTGTGTTTACCTGTCACAGAAAGTTGAATCTTAGTGGGCTATCGATGACAACATTAATTGACAGGATATTTTAATTGCCAATAATTTTGGCGGATGGCGTTTTGACGAGGTTTCCAAAGCTATTATCAATAGGGACAATTTATTTACTAAATTCGCATTTGCCAATGATGGCGGCTTATCCGGGGTGGGGGTGTCTTGATGAGGTTTAACTGTATTCACGAAAATTACGAACAAATTTTGATGTAAATTTCCTCAAATTCATGATTCGAAAAGGCCGATTTTCTGCATCATTTTTTGTTCTTCCCATCGGTTGTGCACAGTATTGCAAGACTTGCGCTTGTTCTTTGCTTTCATTCCAAAAGATCAGTTTCTGTGTGGGTTTCTTCTGCGCAGTCATTTTCCGTATCTTTAAGGTGAGAAAAATTTATCTAATCTTTCGGGGGACTTTTCCTAATTTTTGATGAGCAGGAGAACCAATTGAACGTCTTCTCATCGAAATCTATGGAAAAACGCGATTCGACAAGGGGGACAAGTTCCAAGCACCAATTGCATCCGCATTTCGAAGCCGTAATATATGGGATCGCATCGATAATGCATATTTCTTTTTATAAATTTCAGATGGATACTGGATGGGAAGAATACTACGACTACATATTCCCAGAAGATGAAGCTTCTCGTCCAAACCTCAAGTTGCTTGCCATGGCGAAGATGTGGAAGCAAACCAAAGGTAATCTGCCGGAATCCACAGAGATCTCGAATGAAACATCAAGAGACGAAGAAGTTTCCGAACCCGGTGTTGCGGATTCCGGGGAAATTCCCATAAGCGGTTCCGAAAGTGAATCCGAGGAAGATCAAGAAGAAGAAGAATCATCAAGAGCCGGCAAAAGGTTGAAGACGAATGATGATCATAATTCTAATAGTGACAAGGACGACATGTCGCAGTCGCCGAAGCCTTCTTGAGGATTGTAATGCTCGCTCTGTTCTTTTTCAGGTTTTATGTGAGAAAAAAGCAGTTTGTTCATTTTGCGTCATTCTCTAAATTATTCGTTTGCTTACATCTTTTGCTATTTTGTGCTTTCGAAAGGAAATAGTTTTCTTGTAAATTCGAATATTCTTCCCTGATTCGTTTTATGTTCTTTCGAATGCACGAATTAGCGTTGAAGTAATGCGCAACTCTTGTTGCTCTTCGAATCAGATAGATTACTGTTGATCTCCATTTTTGTTCCAGTGGTTTTACCTTCAGTAATTCGGAAATGATGCGGGAACCCAGGTCGAAGCAGGTCGCGAAGCGCGGGTTGTTCGAGTCGATAAAGAATTTGAGTAATGCGGAGCTGACGTCTTCGGCTGTGAAATTAGCCGAAATCGCGATCGATTTGAACGACCAGGGCTTGGATTGTTTGACTGTGCCCGAAGTGTGTAAGTGCATGATCATTGCCGCCGAGCACTACGAAGAAGAAGCAGAGTTTCTCCTTGCGGAGAAGTTTTACGAAAAGATCCTCGACTTGTACCCGAACTGGGCCTCCTGTAGAAACAAGAGCGGAGATCTCATCGAACCGAGTATTTCGGTGAATGAAATTATGTATAGGTATGTGTGCGAAACTCATTTTTTCTTGTCCATCATATTCATCCTAAACTTGACTTTTCCTTGTTTTTCCGCGAATTGACATCAAACTTTTACCGAAAACCCAACGTGCAATTTTTGTGATTCATCTTTCTTAATTCATTAATTCCATTATTACCTTATTTCTTGCTAAGTGTGCCCACCTTTTACATTTCAGGTTCTGTCCAGAATGTCTTATTTTTTCGAATTTTTAATGTTCAAGGCAAGGGAGATGTCTGAGTTCAGCAGAGGATAAGAAAGCTGCAATTCTCGTCTTGAAGAAGATTCCTGAAAGCGAGAGATCTTCAAGTGCGAACATGTTGCTGGGGAACTTGCTTGTGCATCAGGGATGCTTTCATCTAGCTATTCCGTCGTTTGTGTGAGCATACTGTTATCCAAAAACTATTTTACGAAAGTGGTTGATCAACGATGATCAGTCGTTGATGACTCTTTCTAATAATTAAAGGAAAAGGGGATCGGAGATTTAAATCGTTTTCCGCGACTTTCGAAGGAAACGCAAAAGTTACTCCGTGAGAGTATTCAAAATGTTTATTTATTTATCTTCACACACAGTCGATACAATAATGTTCTAGCGAGAGCGAAGCGACGCAGATTCGGCGTTCGGACAGTGTCTGGTGCGGTAAACTTAACTCAACATAAAATGCACCTGTATATATAGCTTCGGCCGGCCGAGGTCGAGGAACGCGCATAGAAACCGATTCGGATCGGGGACATCATGCTTCGTTTGTTCCAAAGGAAGGAAGCGTGAGCGCGGTCGGGAAAGTATTCCGTCAACAACGGGATTGTGAAATATAATTGCTAGCGCACCAGGCGCAGCCAAGCGTAGCGGAAATACATTAGCTTAAAAGGGTCGTGCGTAAAGTGAAGGGTGTTGTGGTCGTTAATATGACTACAAATCTCCCCTGGTAAACGAGAAAAAGCTCCTGCGTACACAAGTGTCAAAAGTGTTTCAGTCAGCGGGAAAAAGGATCGAAATTTTCGTTCGATTCCCACACCTCCCCTGATCACGTCTCAGGCATGCTGAAAGACGTTACACAGGAAAACATTCTCATGGGGGGCAATAAGAATGGTAATAACAACCATATCTGCCTCCCCTCAACTCCTTCAAGTTCACCAGGAAGCTGCAGAGGTCTGGCATGCCAATGCCTGATTCCTCAGTTCACCTTACACCCCTCTTCAGGTATGTGCTCCTGACCCCCTTAAGCTCTTAATTAAAAACTGTAAAGTTTAAAATTCGCTTGTTCCGCGTGTTTTTTCGCTTGATCTTACTCTTAGGTGTTCTTAAAACACATTCCCATTGTTTTCGGACGGTTTACGGTCGGAATTAACGGTTAATTTCGTGGTTTTTCGTTCGCGGATTTCGTTCGCGAGATACGCGTAACGATCGATTTTGACGCGAAACGCGGTCCAAAATTAAAAAACTAAACGGTTCGTTCGGTTTCAGGCTGTTAAAGGAAGGTCTCCTGCGATTTTCGACAAGTTTCACCGTTCGGTTTGCGAGATTCGAGCGAAAAGGTGAATTCCCTTAGAACCCTTAACAAAGTAGGATCAGATCTGATATAAGTGCATCTTTTGAATTTTCACAGTTTTCATTCAAGAATGGCAAGTTTCGCGGTGTCCGTGTTGTTGGTGCTGCTGGTGGTGCATCCTGATGCGTCATCCGGCAGGTGTCACGTCCAAGATGGCCGCCTTCATTGCTCCGAGGCATGCGACGCGGACGCGGTTCGCGCTTCCGAGTTCGACGGGAGAATCGTTTTGACGGGTCACGTCCTGGACTTCGGGTGTCTGGACTTCTTCGGCATTACGGTTGGTGGATGAAGACAGGTTTTTGAGCTGTTTTTTATCTTGTTTTTGTTGATGCAGAAGGTTGAATTGTTGGCTCCGACTCGCTGCGAGGGGGTTTTCCGTGCTTCGTTGGTCGATCCGGTGGACTTCTGCATGACTGGGCAGACTACGACGAAGTTACCATCTTCTCCATCACTTCCCACGCAGGCTCCGAGTTCGTCAACGATGATTCCTGTTACATCGGCGGGGCCGGTGACGTCAGCGACGGTGGCTTCTTTTTCGACGGAGGCGCCATCTGTCGTCACTTTCGGGGACACCGTGGTCACACAGGGCCCCTTTACAGCTTCGTCTGTTGGGGTCCGTATGTCGACGACGTTCATGACTGAAATGACAAAACATACTACGCCTGCTCCCAGTAAGAGCTTTTCATTAGAGGTTTTCCAATGGGTCTTAAACAAAAGTGCTCTGTTTTTAGCGACAAGCAAGCCTTCCATCATCGTTTCGGTGCTGAAAAACCTTTCGGAAACCCGAATTCACTCTGGGGACCATGCGAACGTCACGCTAACGGTAGTGGAAGGGAAAGCGGTCTTGGGCGCGGAGTTCGCTACCGAGCTATTTTCTAATTGATTTCGGTGCTGAAAAACCTTCCGGAAACCCGAATTCACTCTGGGGACCATGCGAACGTCACGCTAACGGTAGTGGAAGGGAAAGCGGTCTTGGGCGCGGAGTTCGCTACCGAGCTATTTTCTAATTGGGCCATAGGGCTAATTAGCGGTCTCGGCGTAACGGTCTTTGGGTTGGCGGCTGGATGGATTACCTGGTGTTTGAGGAAGAAGGTACTTTCCGTTTTTTGCACTGTTGTTATTCACAAGTACATTCTTCGCATGTCACCTCATCTTTTAACCAACTCTCATTAACTAACAGTATCTCCGTAAAATAACCAATAACCAACCTAAAACTAAAAGGAATGTTGAAGAGATTGAAATGCAAGAGATGTCCTCAAATCCGACTATAACGCATGAGACTTCCATTAATGAGATAAAGGACGGATTTGCTACCATTAGGTCACGCATCCCTCGCATGACAACCTTTAAACCAAGTAAGACTCAGCTGAATGTAAACCCTTTGTTTTGCATGGATGCATGTCTCCTTTGGGTGTTTCTTGTTGTCTTCCTTGTTCTCTAGCCTTGGTTGCTGTCACTCCTGAGGAGAGCGGAAGAGGTTTGGAGAATCCTCACGCCACCGATGACTCCAGCGTCGTCACCTTCACCACCGCCATTGTCGGCTGAAGGAGCTGCGGACTTGATCTCTTTGGACTTCGCGCCAGCTGTTCCTGCGGTTGTTTCTCTTCCAACTCCCATGCTGACCGATCTTCAACCTGTTTTCGAAGAGGCTCAAGAGTCCGGCGTTAATACAAGCTCAGATGATTTTGTTTCGGTGACCGATGATTTAGGC